TCAGAGACACACACAGAGCCCTCAGAGACACACACAGAGTCATCAGGGACACACAGAGTCATCAGAGACACACAGAGTCCTCAGACACACAGAGTCATCAGAGACACACAGAGTCCTCAATCTCCTTTTCTGTGTCCCCTGTTATCAATGAACAGGAATCCTCTATACTGAGTGTTCCTGATCATTGATAACATGAGGACAGAGTATGTTTACTATAACCACAATCATGAATGGACAGGAAGTGATGTAGAGGTGATGCAGATCACTTCCCATTCATTCTAATTGAGGATATAGTTAACATACCATGTCCTCAATTATGTACACACACTCAGCGATGACTGATTGCTGAGTGCTTGTAACCCGCTCTCGTCTCTGACTCGCTGTCACAGGAGGCTGATCAAGTGGTGTAGGGAAGAGAGCTCAGCCTCCTGTGACAGCGCTGTCTCCGCCCCCACACCGCTCTGCCGGACTGTTATAGGAGACTGAGTGGTGTGGGAGGAAAAACGCCTGCGGCTCACAGCGCTCTCCTCCCACTGCGCTCGGCCGACTGTCACTTTCTCTCCACCCCGCTGGGTCACAGAGCAGCGCCCAGCGGGGAGGAGAGAAACCAGGGATGCGCTGATGTATCGGCAGGAAAATGGCACTTTCGGCATTATGCCAAATGTGCCATTTTCGGTCGATATGTTTCGGCGGACGATATATCGGTGAATCCCTAAAAAAAAATAACATTATAAACTAAAACAGCGCTGCCCCAACCCCCTCTTCTGTCTTTACAAGTCTAATGATTCTGGAGTCCCCAGGTGATAAACCCCCCTCCATTACTGTCACTGCGCCAGGTATCACAGTTGGGCTGTGTCTCCATTGAAGTGTGCTCTGTCGCCATCTGGTGGCCGTAGACTATAATAATAATTCTCTTTACCCTTTTACAGGCCTCTCTTGCTCAGGAATCTTTATGTAATCCAGAGGAGTCAGAAATTCCGGAGCCAACAACAAATCCTGCAGCCATAGAGTTCCCAGCCGAGGGATCGGAGGAAAGCCATGTGCCAGAAGAAGCCGTCAGCACTCAATGTATGGAAAGCGGCCCCAGAAGTGACCTGGACTCAATGCTGGTAACACTTCAATCTGGCCTGAAACAACAAGGGATCGAAACCCAGAGCAAAGGACTGTGCCAGAGCTGCCAGCGGCCAATAGCAGGGCAGGTAACCTTCCCCCTGAGCTGTGTGTACACACTAAGCATATACCATACACATCACATACCATGCACACCATACACACACTGTACACACCACACACACTGTACACACCACACACACCATACACACTGTATACACCACACACACTGTACACACCACACACACTGTACACACCACACACACTGTACACACCATACACACACTGTACACACCATATACACCACACACACTGTACACACCACACACACTGTACACACCATACACACACTGTACACACCATATACACCACACACACTGTACACACCACACACACTGTACACACCATACACACACTGTACACACCATATACACCACACACACTGTACACACCACACACACTGTACACACCATACACACACTGTACACACCATATACACCACACACACTGTACACACCACACACACTGTACACACCATACACACACTGTACACACCATATACACCACACACACTGTACACACCACACACACTGTACACACCATACACACACTGTACACACCATATACACCACACACACTGTACACACCACACACACTGTACACACCATACACACACTGTACACACCATATACACCACACACACTGTACACACCACACACACTGTACACACCATACACACACTGTACACACCATATACACCACACACACTGTACACACCACACACACTGTACACACCATACACACACTGTACACACCATATACACCACACACACTGTACACACCACACACACTGTACACACCATACACACACTGTACACACCATATACACCACACACACTGTACACACCACACACACTGTACACACCATACACACACTGTACACACCATATACACCACACACACTGTACACACCACACACACTGTACACACCATACACACACTGTACACACCATATACACCACACACACTGTACACACCACACACACTGTACACACCATACACACACTGTACACACCATATACACCACACACACTGTACACACCACACACACTGTACACACCATACACACACTGTACACACCATATACACCACACACACTGTACACACCACACACACTGTACACACCATACACACACTGTACACACCATATACACCACACACACTGTACACACCACACACACTGTACACACCATACACACACTGTACACACCATATACACCACACACACTGTACACACCACACACACTGTACACACCATACACACACTGTACACACCATATACACCACACACACTGTGCATATACCATACACATCACATACCATGCACACCACACACACACTGTACACACCACACACACTGTACACACCATACACACACTGTACACACCATATACACCACACACACTGTACACACCACACACACACCGTACACACCATACAGACACTGTACACCATATACACTGTGAGTAAGTCCGCCGCTGTATTCTTCCTTGCTGAGGAGATGCTGCACCATGATGATCATTAGCTCCCAGTCCTCCCAGTCACTCCCAGTGACTCCCAGTCCTCCCAGTGACTCCCAGTCCTCCCAGTCACTCCCAGTCCTCCCAGTGACTCCCAGTCCTCCCAGTGACTCCCAGTCCTCCCAGTCACTCCCAGTCCTCCCAGTCACTCCCAGTGACTCCCTGTCCTCCCAGTGACTCCCAGTCCTCCCAGTGACTCCCTGTCCTCCCAGTGACTCCCAGTCCTCCCAGTCACTCCCAGTCCTCCCAGTCACTCCCAGTGACTCCCTGTCCTCCCAGTCACTCCCAGTCCTCCCAGTGACTCCCAGTCCTCCCAGTGCCTTCCACTCCTCCCAGTGACTCCCAGTGACTCCCAGTCCTCCCAGTCACTCCCAGTCCTCCCAGTCCTCGCAGTCACTCCCAGTGACTCCCAGTCCTCCCAGTCACTCCCAGTCCTCCCAGTGACTCCCAGTCCTCCCAGTCCTCCCAGTCCTCCCAGTGACTAGCTGAAACCGAGTGTAGGGTGAAACAAAACAAAAAAATACAAAAAAGAAAATGATACTTTTCATTCTTTTGTCCCCCAATATATATATATTTCTTCATCTAACAAATGTATATATTATTTTCATCTTTACCCCTCGGAAATGTCGTTTCTTCTAAATTCCACTAATTTTCCCTCAAACAAAATATTTAAAAAATAAATAAATAATAAGAAGGGGGGTGAAGGGTAAAGTGAGGGGGTTAGGGTTAGGGATACATACCCCATACACCCCCCATACATACCCCATACACCCCCCATACACACCCCATACACACCCCATACACACCCCATACACACCCCATTCATACCCCTTATACACCCTCCGTTACTCCCCGTGCCGGTATTTATTCTTCATACTCTTACATATCTCATCCCTACAAGTCGCATCCAAGAGGAATTCAGGGAACTTTCATAGAAACCCCCGAAACATTCTCCGCTGAAGGTTTATTTCTCGGGAAACATTACAATCATTCCGAATGACTCAAACTATTCCACATGTGGCCGATCTGAGTATTGATCGGCCACATGTGGTATCCTGGATCACCTCCAGGATACCGTTAGAAAGATCTGGTCCCCTTATGTTCCTATGTAAAAAGCGTCGCGATCCATGGAAGGGGGACTAACCCTAACCCTAAGGGTGACCGATCGACAGCGGTGGTTGTCGATCACCATTCCACAACCACCTGGTACCTCATAGGGCGTAAGCGGGAGATAGATCCAGGGCTGCGGTTACAAATCCCGGGTGCACGTGCAACGTTTGGAATCATTTCATATGAAACTGCAATAGAAATGTGTTGTGCGTTCTCTTTTATTTCCTCTGCAGGCTGTCACAGCTCTCGGCCACACCTGGCACCCGGAACATTTTGTGTGCGCTCACTGCAAATCTCTTATTGGAACTACAAACTTCTTTGAGAAGGATGGAAAACCTTATTGTGAGAAAGATTACTTTGAGTTACATGCTCCACGTTGTGCGCTGTGTCATCTCCCCATCCTGAAGGTGACTCTCATCTCCGTTCCTTTTATCCTTCATGAACTCTTCACATACGCATGTCTATACCTGACCTGTGTGCACTTCCTGGACTCTTCCTTCTAACGCCATAGAGTATAGAGCGAGACCCCATCAGATCTGGTCTATACCTGACCCGTGTGCACTTCCTGGACTCTTCCTTCTAACGCCATAGAGTATAGAGCGAGACCCCATAAGATCTGAACTCTAGTAAGACTCGGGATCTGTACGGACAAGGCATGAGATGGAAGGTTGGCACAGATATAGTCTGACAGAGTAACGTATTCTGATAGCCTTCCACTTCTCCTCCACTTCCCTCTACTACCATTCCTGCCTTCCACTCCTCCTTCACCTCCCTCTACTACCATTCCCGCCTTCCACTCCTCCTTCACCTCCCTCTACTACCATTCCCGCCTTCCACTCCTCCTCCACCTCCCTCTACTACCATTCCTGCCTTCCACTCCTCCTCCACCTCCCTCTACTACCATTCCTGCCTTCCACTCCTCCTCCTCCCTCTACTACCATTCCTGCCTTCCACTCCTCCACCTCCCTCTACTACCATTCCTGCCTTCCACTCCTCCTCCACCGCCCTCTACTACCATTCCTGCCTTCCACTTCTCCTCCACTTC